AAAGCCCACTGTAAAAGTCTATGACTCGAAGGCTTTTCTTAACTGAATGAATCCAATCATTATCTTGCTTCGCATTTAAAATCTTCTACAGCAATCAGTTCATTACAGCACACCTGCATAAACCTATCTGCTTCCTCTACTCACATCAACACCAAGATTTTCTTGTAAACCTTGTTCTATGCACTCCGTGCTCCCTGCATATTGTTTGTGCTGTGTCCATCTTTCCCCTAACACCAGAGCACCGTGAAAACATGTTCCTTGAGGAAGCCTGAGTCTACCTGGGATCTTACTCTGCTTACATGTCATCCTTCAGACCAGCAGCTATCCAGCAAGACCTATGTAAGGAAAGCCTGCACTTGCGTTGATTTTTTTCTCTTCAATTCAGAGATAAGTTGAGAGAGTGTCACTGCTTTTTTCTAGTGAAAAATACTTCTGTGATTCTCTATGACAGTGTTCTTCAGCTCCTGATTTTTCCAATGCTCATAGCGGGTTTTAACAATTAACAGACTACAAACGAGTATTGAAAAAACCACATTGCTCTATAATTGTTTAAATCTGCCTGCAGAGAACAGCCTGCAGGCAATGCCGAAAGAGTTCAGATAACAAGCAGATCTGTGAACACCAGGCTCAACCAAGCCTGGTTTTCCTTGGATTTGTATCTTGTGATTGACCTGAATTTCTAACAGAAGTTGAGCACTGCCGTTAAATGAGCTCAGCTCTTAGCAGACACGGGAGACTAATCACATACTAGCAGTAAAAGATTTTCATTGCTGTCTGCACGCGAGAGATTCAGAGAATTGACTGTGCAGTGGATTCTTGTGTGTTGCCTGTTTCCAAAAGCAGGGACAGAGCCTTTTGTAACATCGTTTATGTGCACAGAGGATTCCTTGGTGTATGACAACAACAGAGACTGCATCCTAGTCCAACTGCCTGCTGTCCCCAAACTCACAATATGATGACTTTGTGATTCCTCTTACTTGAATGGGCTTACTGCTATGGGCAAAGATAATATCATCGGGAAATGGACAGAGTTTGTAACAGGCTCGTTTCTTTAGAAATCAGTAAAACTATGCAACAGTTACTTACAGTAAGCAATACAGAGAGAATATTCCACTAACACAAATGAATTGGGACAAACTGATCCCAAGCATACAAATAAGGGCAGCTGGGGACAGCGGAGGGGGCAGTGCTGATCTCCTCTCTCTGGTGACCAGTGATAGGACAGAAGGAAATGGAATGAAGCTGAGGCAGGGGAAGTTCAGACAGGGCATTAGGAAAAAGTTCTTCACTGAGAGGTCTGTCAGTAACCACAACAAGCCCATCAGAGTTCAAGGAGATCTGGACAGTGCTCTTAGTCATATAGTTCAGTTTTAAGCAGTTCTGTGAGGAGCAGGGAGTTGGACTCGATGACCCTTATGAGTCTCTTCCAACCGGAGATACCCTATGGTTGTAAATCTCAACTCACATGCCATTCGCAGTAGAGCATACCTTAACGTTGGAAAGGGATATAGAAGTGAAATTCAAGGTAAACGCTGCAGGTTCTTAGAGACTGAGAGCTAAGAATTTTCAAAAGCAATTGGAAATCTTAAAAAAAAAAAAAAAGAGGATAAAAAAAAAGCACCTGAGCAGAAAGCCAGCGCAGTGAAATAATGTATTTTTAGGTACTGCAGTTTCCACACACTGTACCAAAGCATTTCACACAATTTTCACCAGGCTGTTATTCCTATGGAGAAGCGTATTCTGAATGCAGAGACTTTACCCACACAGACAGAGCACTTTAGGATATGACTAAACACGGGAAGCAATTACTCAATACCCAAGGCAGACTTAAGAGGAAAACAGCTGAGAAGGGAAATTCCAGGTACCAGATAAAAAGCCCGGAGGCAGAAGTATTTCACTATCACACTGATTTACTATCATCTGCTGGGACATGTTTATGGATAAATGCAATACAGAGTGACATCTAAATGGGATTAAATTGGATCACTTCTCATATTGAGGCAGTAGTCCTGCTTGCTGATATCTTACCAAGTATTTCAGGTTCATCACTCCTGTGATTACAAAATCAGTCATTTAAGCCTTACTTTATCACTTTAAATGCAAACCCTTTTCAGTGCTCAAGCTCTGCCTTTTGTTTTGGAGGGTGAACCTGGGCAAAGCCAGAACTGGTGCTTGCATAAGTCATATTATCAGATAAGATACTTGTTCTACCTTGTCAAAGGCAGCATAGCTTTTCATTGCAAACGCCCAAAACCAGTACATGAAAATGTGTTGAAACAGTCCAGTCTGTGTGAAAAATATGAAACAGTCTTGCTGTGGTCATTATCAGGAGAGATGTGGGATGAAAAAACAAAATCACAGGACTCCAAGCAGAAAGAACAGATCATTAGGATCCTAAACAATCCTGTTTAATCTCAAATGCTGCTGCACTGACCAACAGAAAAATCTTTTAAGAAGCAAAAAAAAGAATGGCATAAAATCGCATCTTTAAACAAGAAAAGGAATTGCCACAAAAGCAATGTGCAGCTGGAAATTCCCATCTACCTTGCTTCACACTGACCTCCTGTGTAGACAAACAGTGGATAAATAATAGCACTGCTGAAGAGTCTTTGGATGCTGCTGTGGCCATAGTAGGAAACATTTTTACAGCTACTGCTATCAATCTCTTTGCAAAAACGCACAATGTACTCTTCTCTCTGGTCTCCTCTTTCTGTCCCGAGTTAAAACATAAGAGCAGATTCTAAAATAATGTAAATATGTATCATTGCACTAAATTTAGAACGAACTATGTTAATTGGCACAGGCTGAGAACCTGGGTAATTCCATAATTTCAAGAGTATTTCACTAAAATCTTGGGCAGAAAGCTGAATTCCTCAGAATATCTGAATGTATGGCCCAATTTTGAGCCTGTTTTATTGTAATAAAAATGAATATCTGGCAGATTAAAACTACAAAGAATAAAGGGAGTATTTAACAGAACTGGAAGGAGTCATTTAGCCACATTTAGCCACAAAATACTCAAATCATCATTCTGAAACATGCTGCATAATCAAATAATAATTTTATTCATTTGCCAGTAAGAGACCAGTATAGTGCAAAAATGCAGAATTGCTGTTGAAGCAATATTTCCCTGCCTCTCAGCAGATACTTACAATTGCTACTCATTTGACATTCCACATTTACCTGGCTCTGTTTCTGCATGCCTGAATGAATATTCTAGGTTATAGAAAATGACTGGCCAATTGTACACACGGAGATAAAATGGGTCAGAATTCACAGAAACGCAAAACAAAATGGACCTTCCTAACATCTTCACTAGCTAAGAGCCAAACCGAGTTGGTCATTTTACACAGCTAAAAAGTGAAAGCTGAAAACTGCTTATAACAAGAGCGTAGGGGTGGTATGTTAGGCTTTATGCAATGTATTGGCATAATTTGTGCCCATTAGCTTCACCAGACTACTCCAATCCATTTTGCTCTCTTTTCACGTTTCCCAGGATGGCTGCTGGGGAGACTTCTATAGAAGCTGTCGTTAAAAGTCAAGCTAAGACATTCAGGGCTAAAAGCTGCTCAGGAAAATCTAGGCCTTTGGAAATTACCTCCTATTAAGAAATGACTTTTTTTCTGTAATCCTTTCTCTGTTGCTTCCCAGTCTATTAATATTTCTTATAACCCTGGGGGCTGAACTTCCCCCACCCTTGCCGTGAAATTCTGACAATAACTTCAGTTACTTTTTAAGTGAAATGGAAGAAACAGAACAAACTACATATATACACACACACATATATATTATACATATATAATGTATACAGTTTTTCACAACATGGTGATCCAGTGAGGACACCAGGGAATAGAAAACATGAACTGCAGCTAAAATACATCCATTGTGCTGCCTTGAGAAGTAAAAACACCAATAAAAGGTCAGTCTTCCTTATTCAGCTGGGAAACTGCAGGAACAAAAGCAGTCTTTCTGGAAAAAATACACATAAATATCTGGGGAAGGGAGAGAGGAGGAAAAAGAGAACTTCACCATGAAGATGCCACTTTAATGAACATCAAAATGGAAATAGCTCCATAATAGCTATACCACAAATACCATCATTGCCCTCTGCCCACTCAGACATCACCTCTGTCAGAGACAAAAGGAACAAGTGCCTGTGCTGCCCACAGAGTCATTTCTCTTGCTGACAGGAACTGCAGTTGTGGAGGTGCTCTTGCAATGCTGACACATGTTCCTTTCCACTACAGCTCAGCACTGAGATCACCAACTAATTTCACACCATCTCCTCAGAATGTCATCAGAAGGCAACAGCTCTGTCCTTGAAAGCAATACAACTTACATTTTTCAGAAACTTTCGTAATTTCTTAGCAACGCAGTCACTAGGATCAGAAATTCTGCCATAAGAGCTAGATCATGGATCTGCCACCTTACACTGGACTCTGGCTGAACTCTGCTGAGTATGAAAAGGCTCTGCCAAATAGTGCAAGACCTGGGGCATAGGAATAGTGACTGAGAACAGTTAAACGTGACACATAGAAACAAGGAGCATGCTGCCCCACATATCTGGCCCTATACATACAATAAATACTGAAACAAACAAACAAGGCTGGATGACTTCTGGCTGTCTCTATCATAACCATAAGAAAGAAATCTCTCCAAAAGATCTAAAGGACCCATCAGCGATATCTAGTAGAAACTGTATTTTACAATAAAAGGTTTTCATTTGACACACCATCACAATTACATGCACATATGCTGGATTTTTACAGTGTCCTGCATGTTATCTCACTACTACAGAATAACAGATAAAAAATAGTTTAACTTAAGCTTACACAGAATTCTTTATCCAGGGCTAACAATTTCCTGTTTCCTCTACAGATGAAAACACTACGGAGATAATGCAGACATTGGTATGTATCTAAACCAAACAGTTTCTCAATATAGCACCATGAATGGGTGCAGATCAGCAGTAAAAGCAGAGAAGCTTTGGTTGGTGTTACCTTACTTGGCCTGGGTGTGGAACATATATCCAAGGAAGCTGAGCAGAAACACTGGAAGAAAAAGGAGACTTTCCTTCAGTTGAAGGAATAGCAGCAGAAGGATCATTAGAAATGCCTCTAGAACTTCTTGAACTATGAGGGTGTGATTACATCAATGTTGCAATTAGTTCAGCAGGATGCTACGTATAAAACACAGTCAGTAGATCATTCCATAAACTTGAGTACAAGGATTATCAATCTGAGTAACCCAAGTACCCCTACGGACACACACTCCACTTCAAGGCCCCATTCAAAGCGGCACAAGTTAGGACTATTTTCTCCTAACAAGTATTTCCGTAAATCAGCTATCTAATCAGAAGCCTAAAAGCTTGTGTTTGCAATGAAACCCTTTCTAGCAAAATAGTGTATTTCCTTCTAATGAAATGTCAGAGAACTGGCCTTCATTAGCAGTACTCTCAAACCAGATTAATTTCACTGTACAAGCTTGTTTCTGTAACAGATAAAAGTAAGTACAGCCACTACAATTTTACATTGTTCTTTTTGTCCAGTCTACTTCTTTATTTCCCACTGTTTAAATCTTTTAACTTTCCCTAAAAAATAATTCAACCAATGTATTTGGAAAGCTTGGAAGCAATAGAGCCACATTTCTGAAAGAGAGAGGCTCTAACAAACGAACTGTTAACAACTGCACAATTATCTGAGGAGGGCAAGACTAAATTATTTCTCTATGCTTCCCACATTAAACTGAAACAGCTGTAGATTGAAGAAAGATAAATACACAACAGATGAAGACAAGCTCACAGCCAAAGGTAGGTCTGCCAAGAGTGACAAAGGGAAGGAGAGGAAACTTGCAGGACTAGCTATTTTGGAGAACTTAAGATGACAAGGAGTCCTGACTCATTGCTTCTCCCTTATCAGTCCATTTCTGGGTATTAATATGCTGCACTGCTCTGCTGTGCAGAGATGTCCCAATGAGTCGTTAACTAAGACTGTAAGTCATAAATAAGACTGAAAGTCCCAAGAGAAGTGTGGATGTTTGCTAAGAAGAAACCTTGCTCTAAAAACTTTACATTATGAAAAGACAAGCTGGGTATAGAAGAGGCACACTGAACAGAAATGGCTTGTTGAAGGGTACATGAAGACCTCCAACCTTCCAACTATACCTACCGACAAGATGGACTTTATGTTCCTGGTCCCACGTAATGTACTGGAACACTGCTGGTCTTCATAAGAGGTGAAAGAAGTTTTCTTTCATGGAGGATGGCATGTCTGTCTCTTTAAATAATTTCCTGCCTCCCCAGCTCTCCCTTACTCGGGGACTCTCACAGGACCAGGGCAGCAGGAGAATGAAACAGCATGAAGTGGTGCAGTTTGTACCGCTACACCAAACCTTGGCAAGCTGCTCCATTGAGAATGGGAATTATGAGCAGAATGTGTGAGAATGAATTCCACAGGAGAAACTGAAAAGTTAAGTAACTGCAGCCCAGTATGAACACTTAAGTTGCTCTTTGTCAGTGAAGAAAAACATTACCCACTCTTAATCACTAATGCAGACAAAGGTGTTCTTACTCAACTACTAACTACTGAAAATGTATGAACTTTAAACACCAAAAAAGGAATTACACAACCCAGAGAGACAGAATGTCTAAAATTATAAATCCAGCAGGAATCAGAAACATTCAGAATTCCAAAAAGGGGTATCATATTTTCAAAGTGGTGAAACACAAAACATAACTTGGAAAAAATGACAAAACTGAGTAAAACCCAAAACTCTTGAGTCTTTATTTCACTAGTTAACAGAATGATTTTGCTAATATATCCCAAAGCAACTTCTGAGCAGGAGTGGAATTAATCAAAGGCACTCGATTCTTTCTTACAGAAGGAAAAAATATTAATGCCATAGGAAATTGGTTAATCGTACTTTATTAAATGACTCTAACCAGATGTTACACACCAGCTCATTAACCAGACAATGATTCAATGGCTTTACTCAGCTATAATTATAGAACAGAGATTAACAAAACTGCACTTAACACAGGTAGCTCCTTATTTAAATTAGTCTTCACATGCCATTAAAGCTATTCAGCTTTTTGGCAAACTGCAGTTTTATAAGTTGGTATATTATTTGCAATTATGGCTAATTGCTATGAGCAATGACTGCAGTTATCTCTGGAACACATCTGTTGCTGACACTATTTAAATGTGACAATTTCGCGGCTAACAACTCCATACTTGTTAATGAAGCACCACTACCCGCAAGTGACTGATGAAAGCCTTCTACCTTTATACTTAGAAATACAATAGGCACTTTATCTGATATAAAGGTTGATCTGTATTTTCTCTTATAATGGGCCTAAGTTTTTGTGTCCTAAGGTATCTAAAGTAGCAGTTGATCCTCAGACAGTCTCAACTAGATCAGGGGATTATTCATGTAATAAAATACAATACAGACACTCATTATCAGGCATTCAAGTGGCTGGAATAGCTGAAAGCCTGTGGCCAACACACGGGACACATGCTGATCTCTCTGACACAAACCTGTTTGTGAAGGAAGGTTCTCCTTTACATACCACGCCATCTGGAAACACGGGGAGACAATAAACATCTCACTTCCAGTAACAAACACATTTCAGCTGCCCATGCTAGAGTACGTATGTGCATACACAACAGATGCTGGCTTTGGTAAGAAGAGTGCATTTTCTCTGTGCTGACTTCAGGGGATAACACATCAGAGGAGAGAGACATTCTCAGTCTCTAGGAATGATGATGTAATCCCTGTTTGTGCCATGTCCATTGTAGCAGATAAATGTACAGCCTCACAGGCTAAAGCAGCGGGTGGGGAGTGCACTGTGCTGTGGAGATAAGAGCTGGAGAAAGAGAAAAAATTCCAATTAAAAAAAAATAATACTTAAAACCATTCAAGACGCAAGCGTAGACCTGACAGAGAACTTGCATCACTCATATTGATGGGATAAACGACAGAGTTTCTAAAGTGTTTTGAAGACCTAAGGTGCTGGTATAAATTCTGAACGTTACAGCCAGTGTGAGATGGGTAGGAAGCATTCCCATGGGGCCTGACGATTATCTGACCTACATGAACCTTGGTATTGACAGCACTCATGCCAAACGCAGATCTTCAGAAAGCTGAAGTTTTGGCACTGCCCTTCTGCATCTGAATGGGCAGCACATAAAAAAAGAAGCAAACGATTAAAAAGACTGAAGCAAAGTGAATGTGTGACAAGGCACCTTAATAATAGCAACTGTAGGCCGATGCATTTTTAAAATTACAAAAATTAATATTATCTAAGGACATCAGCAGTCCAGCTGTGCGCTTTGTTAATCCAGTGTCAGACTTTTATTCACAGAGGAACAGTTAAAACTGCTGTCAGCGACCATGGTAGTGGGAATTCACAATCTGTCCCACTGCAGTAATACAATCCCCGAGGCAGCAGACATGTGGCAAACTGGTGAGCACTCGAACACAGTGGTTCTTTGTGACAGAAGCTGCAGAACAGGAAAGCTCAGAAGGACCCCAAGAAATAATCCAAGACCATTCACCTAACACCACAGCGAGATCAGCTGTAGCTGTGTCATTCCTGACAAATGTTTGTTTAACAAGCTCTTGCTGACCACCCAGAAGCCATGGCTTCACAGCGTTAGCAGCAACCTGTTCCCATGCCTCCCCTCCTACTGTTCAGAAGCACATGGGTATACTGCCCACGGATGGCACATGTGCCACGTGCACTATAGATGAGAGAAACCTTGTCCTTCTATAATGACTTTTTGTATATTCAAATATCATACTTCTTGGCAGGCTAAGCATACTTCTTCTCTGCCAGGCTAAGCAACCTACTAGTAGATTACACTACTTGCAGCTGGATCAGATAGACATCACGTCTCTCTTGTCAAGTTCCTCTGTCTCTTTCTCCTGATGCGCCACATCTTCCTTCAGGTACAGTGCCTAAAACAGGACCATGGCCTTACAATGGACAGGGCAGAAGCCTGACTTCATGTTTTTTCAAATAACATTCTTACTCAGAAATGCATTAAACTGATGCTTATTTAAAACTAAAAGAGTATTTGTTATTAACGAAAATCACAGCTACTTCTTGTGAGCACTGTGAAGGATCTGATCACAAATGACATGTGGGCTTTCCCTTGTCTGGGCCAGCTTTAATTTCTGCTGAGAATTCTATCTGATCTTCTCTAAAACAGAAGAACGGATTCAAGAATTTCTTTTTACATGGGATCAAAGGCCTGAATGATATCTGTTGAATTATCAAGTCTTGGCCTCTAATATTACACCACATTACAGTATGCCACATGTGAAATGTCCTCAATGCGCTCAGCTCCCTAAGGATGTCATCTGGGTGTTTTTTTTGCTTTCACTCATTTTAAAAGAAGACTGAAATGGAAGTTCAGCATTTAGACTCTACACTCATTCACAACTGGTTCATACTCACACATGATTCTTCCAGTACCATCTATTATCTTAAATAGTTCTCCTATCATGATGACACTAATTTATTTGACATAGTTTTTAAAAGTATTTATATCCTTCTGTCACATTTTTGCCAGAGAAACTGAAGTAACTGAAGGGTCTTTCACACCATGACAGCCCAGGGCAGCCTTTCCTCCTGCAGTAAGCCGCCCTCTGCCACGAGTGCTAGTTTAGACACTGAGACAGTTATAGCCCCTTCTGCCTCAAATGCCAAAGCAGACTCTTGTTTTTCAAAAAACCAAAACCAATCAAGACTGCAAGCTTAAATTTACCACTGCATCCTATTGCCAAGGGAATCCTGTGATCCCTTTCTTTAGTTACTTAAAGACCCCATGGAAACTTTATTTTGGAATTTAATTATAAGAACTGATTTGAAATTTAGGCAACTACAAATAATCCAAATAATTGTATTTTCTCCAGCCCTGTGTAAGACTAGCTCCTTCTATTTCTGAATGCCAAATAAGCAGCTTAACTGACCAATGCTCTGTACTTTGCATCCCCCAACCTGGAGGGTCCTAACCTTTCCAAGGATGTAAGTCATCAAACTATTCCTAAACATATTAAAATAACTACAAAGACTTAATTTTTAGTCACATGTTACACATGCACAGATATGCACAATTACTTAAAGGCACATATTTGGTTTACCTTTGAAAGGAGGACAGTTATAAAGCTACTGCGACTGTATGAAGGGTCAGGAAACAGAAAGAAATCAATTTCTTAAAATTTTCTCATGTGTTTTTATTGTGGCCCTTAGTTAAGGATCAACCACTACTGAAAAACAATCCTTTTAGGCCTTTTGAATAAAGTTGGAAAGACTAGAAATTGGCTCCTTACTTAAGAAATGCACATCAACATTTGTGTTGGTATGACTTCCCTTTTGAGTAGTACAGGATATAAACTTCATTTATTTACTTACCGTTTAATCAAAACCTCTGTGAACTAAATTCCTGGTGCTACACACTGTCTGAAACCTTCCTTTATTGAGACGAGCCCCATACTTTTCAGATGTTTCGCTAGTGATTGCAAAGATATAGAGAGCATCAGCACAAGCAATGGACAGCATTAGTGGCCCCTGAAGGAACACTTGCTAATCATTTCTAACCACCCAAGAGGCCTAAACCAAGCAGGCTGGCAAGAAAAACTATCTGCAAGGAAAAGCATGTAACCCTCGTGCCGGAGGACTAAAAACTGGAGTTAATAACAATACATACCGTGCCGCTGAGAACGACAGGAACAGTATAAGGCAGATAGCAGCAACTGACCCAAATCCAACAGCAGTCATGTATTGCAGAGCGGGTGATAGATCTGAAAGAAAACATCAAACGATGCAAACTAACAAACACCAAATGCTGCAGCTTCAGTCTGGTGACTGACCAAATGAGTCTGCTCAAAGCTAAAGTACTGTAACAGATATGGGACTTAGCGCTCAGTCAAGTAGTAATGGAGCAGACTATCTGGTAGTTACCATCCAGTTGAGGAACTAAGATTAGATGGTGTATTTCTCAAAAGTGATTATACTTTTCCGTCACTCAGTTTCCTGCTGCCTTTTTGCTAATTCAGACACTCCATGTCAACATTTTTCCCTCTCGCCCCTGGCAATTTGAGTCTAAATCATATGCCAAGGGGGTCTCTGGTGCCAGAAAATCCTAGTGCTTTATTAAATGCCTTGATGCATCTCCTTCAAATTCTTTACGATCTAGGCATGATTTCTCTTCCCCATTCCTTTTTTTTTTTCTTTTTTTTTTTTTTTTCTCACAAGTAACAGGATAGAAACAAACTTGGCAATGACAGCCTTACTCTGCCTTGATGCATCTCCTTCAAATTCTTTACGATCTAGGCATGATTTCTCTTCCCCATTCCTTTTTTTTTTTCTTTTTTTTTTTTTTGTCTCCCAAGTAACAGGATAGAAACAAAC